GGACCTTGGAGGTCATCGAGTCCAACCCCCTGCTCAGGCAGGAACCCTACACCATTTCAGACAAATGGCTGTCCAGTCTCTTCTTAAAAACTTCCAGTGTTGGAGCATTCACTGCTTCTGGAGGCAGGTTGTTCCATTGGTTAATTGTTCTAACTGTCAGGAAGTTTCTCCTTAGTTCTAAGTTGCTTCTCTCCTTGATTAGTTTCCATCCGTTGCTTCTTGTCCTGCCTTCAGGCGCCTTGAAGAATAGTTTGACTCCCTCTTCTTTGTGGCAGCCCCTGAGATATTGGAACACTGCTATCATGTCCCCCCTCGTCCTTCTCTTTGTTAAACTAGACATACCCAATTCCAGCAACCATTCTTTATATGTTTTAGCCTCCAGTCCCCTAATCATCTTTGTTGATGGCAGCAGTGTTCTGATATTTGAGGGGCTGCCACAAAGAAGAGGGGGTCAACCCGATTTTCCAAAGCACCAGAAGGCAAGAAAAGAAACAATGGATGGAAATGAACCAAGGAGAGAAGAAGCCTAAAACTAAGGAGAAATTTGCTAACAGTGAGAACAAGTAACAAGTGGAACAGCTTTCCTTCAGAAGTTGTGGGTGCTCCAACACTGGAGGCTTCTAAGAAGAGACAGGACAGCCACTTGCCTGAAATGGTATAGGATCTCCTGCTTGAGCAGGGGGTTGGACTAGAAGACCTCCAAGGTCCCTTCCAACTCTGTTATTCTGTCCTGTCCCGTTAAGATCCTGCAGGTTTTCTGCTTTTATTTTCTTTAGCACAGACACAGCATAGGACACTGAAATCTGCAGATCCAGAAAAGACTGTCAATCTAACCGAATATTTTAACTGCAGTTGTTTGTATATATGTTACAAACATCTAGAAGCTTGTATAGAAGACATTAACTAAAACAAATAATGACAGCAACATTGAGGCAAAGGGGAAACAGATTTCATTTAAAGCCTCACTAGTTATTAACAATATTAGGGGGGGAGGGACATTTATGGCCTGACATTATAAGCAGTGTGAGACCCAGTTTGGTGTAGTGGTTAGGGCACCAAGCTGGAAACCACGAGACGGTGAGTTCTAATCCCACCTTAGACACAAAGCCAGTTTTGGGTGATCTTGAGCCAATTACTTTCTCTCAGCCCTAGGAAGGAGGCAATGGCAAACCATTTCTGAAAAATCTTGCAAAGAAAAACTGTAGGGACTTGTCCAGGCAATCTCAGAGAATCTGACATATGAAAGGAATAAAAGGAATAAAAGGAATAAAAAAAACACCAGCAGCATTATTCTAGGACAGACATGTCAAACACAAGGCCCGGGGGCCGGATGCGGCCCACGAACTGGTTTCATGTGGCCCGCGAAGGCATCCTGGAAACAGTGAGGGAACGGCCCCCACTGCCTTGGCCCTGGCCCAGGCTGGCCGGGAGCCAATGTACAATTTTGTGGTGGCCATCTATGCTGAAATGCATTCAGTCTTAGCTCCACAAGGCCGTCTGGAAACAGCAAGGAACCAGCCCCTGCCGCGTCAGCCCAGCCCCCTGGGTGCATGCTGGGGAGGTGTCACCGTTTGTGAGGAATGAAGAAATGGACCATCACCTGGAAGTGGTCCTGGTCCCACCCCCTTCTGCCAGAGACCCTCAGATCTGTCCCACTCCTGCCCAGGCCCCCACAGGTACCATTGATGCGAACGATGTAGAGCTGGCCACGCCCACCCAGTAGGCCACACCCACTCCATCCATGCCCACTCAGTAGGCCGCACCCACCCTGGCCACACACCCCCACCCCCCCCGAGGGCAACCGCAATGCTGATGCGGCCCTCAATGAAATTGAGTTTGACACCCCTGTTCTAGGAAGTCGTTTCTTTTGGATACCCTATAACAGGGGTCTTCAAACTTGGCCCTTTTATGACTTGTGGACGCTGAGGGATTCTGGGAGATGAAGTCCACAAGCCATAAAAGGGCCAAGTTTGAAGATCCCTGCCCTATAACCTGAAAATCAGATGCTGAGGGAACTGATTTTAAGATGCAGCTTAAGCCACCTCTGAAACGCTGCATGAGCTGGACTCTTCCCAGAAAACATCCATGGCTAAGTCCGGACTGACAGATGATTTACCAACTGTATTACTATATCCTCTGCTGTCTTTTTACGGCCCCACAGCATGACTCCGAAAGGCAGCTGCTGTAACATATTCTCAAGCAGAAGGAAAAAGTGGCCATTTTCCTAGATGCTAAGAGCTCCGGTTTTGTTTGACCACTAAAGGCTCAGCCAGTTCACAACTGCCTTGTAAAACAGATCCAGGCTTTCTTCCTATCTGTTATCCAGGAATTTTCAGCCTCCTACTTCCTTTCAAGAGCCAACCACATTCACACGGTTACTGGAAGTTAAGAAGTGCAAATATCTTTATTGCCCTCAATGAGCTGAATTTAAATGGGGAGCTATTAAACACCGGCCTCTAACATTCTTCTTCTTCTTTCTTTTTTTTCCCCCAACAATGACCCAGGGCTCTACAGGAAAAGAAACACTTTTCATTAGCTTGCTTTCTGATAAATGTTTCTCCAGATCCTTTAGATTACAAATGCCACTATGTCTTGCCATAGGCCATCCTGGGCTAATGGTAGTTAAACTCCGTCTCCGAGAGATCTCAGGTTGCTTTTCCCTTTCGTAGTGAAGTGAAGTCTTCTGAGCATGATGAAGTTGCCTTTGGGATAAATAAACTTAGTACTTGGTTGACTTTGAGCCTGGCCTTCCTCTTGCATCAAGTTGAAATGTTACAGAGT